TGGGTGTGAAGGTACCCTTGTCTACACGTTTCTCCTGAAGCAGAATCAAGACTCAGCATGTGCAGTTCACGCCCCGTCCAGGCATCTTGATGTGGGGACCTGGAGTGCCCTCTTCGTTAGCCGATGGCCAAGCAAGAGAGTTCAGCAGCGTGTCCGTCCTGCCCTGACAACAGGTCTTAGACGCTAAGGGACGGAAAGTACGAGCAATCAGTGCTTGCATTCGCACTGTCTCTGCGAGTGGCTGCGTGGTTCGTGTTTGTGAAGCATGTTAGTTTGTTTTGGACCTTTGCAGATAGAACCACATTCTCAACTGTACACTGCTGCACTTCAGGTGGTGTTCTTCGAAGTGAAAAAGTCTTCAGAGAGAATTATAACGCATGGGCAGTTTCAAGAATGCTGCAAGGGCAGCTCAAGAGAGATCAAGCTGCTAGGGCAGTCGTGGTTAAAGATCGGCTGAAGGGTCAGCTCGTTGAGATTTGTTGCAAGGGCAACTCAAATAGTTCTGCTGTAAGGGCAGCTGAAAATGGCAAGGGCCAATATTCAATGCACACAATGAGTGTGCTTCATACGTCGCTGCAAGGGCAGCCTATTCTTTCAGGCCGTGACGACAGTTAAGATCGGCAAGGGCCGACAAGAGGTGCAAGGGCACCGATGAGTCGTCTAGTCGAGATGAAAGGATTCTCTAGAGAGCTTGAAAACAGAAGGAGCGCAGGCTGTTATGAACTCAGCACTTGATTGCACAATTGAAGGCAACGACGTGCTGACATCTGAGTTTATCCCTTGACTGTTTCTCGGCTTAAAAAAAAAAAGGAGAGACAAGGGCAAGGGTCGCAAAGATTCCGAGAGGAAACAAAAGCCAAGGGGCAAAGAAAAAGAGGCGAAAGCCCACATGTTTCCGTGGCCCCTCTTTCCGGGCGGTGAATCCCGAGGCTCTGCCTCCATGGGCCGCAGAAGGAACAGAAGCAGCAGTGACAGCCGTCGCTCAAGACGCAGAGACAGGAGCCGAAGGACGTCTAGATCACGTAGCCCAAGTGGGCGCCGAGACAGGTTTCCAGAGACCCAGCCGAGGACCCCAAGTGTTGGGATTTCTAGCATGCGAGCTACGCAGCCAGGATTTCACTGGTGCCAAGTGCCGACAGCGGCCTTTGGCGTGGCGTCGGGCCCACAGGCCCAGGCATCCCTTTCCGCACAGAAGGGAGCTGAGGCAGCTTCTTCTTGGAAGTATTCCTCCCGGTGGCAAGAACAGTCCACCCCATGGAAGAGCCAGCAGTCTTCATGGGGCAAGGGTTGGGGGCAATCCAAGAATTACGGCTCCAGCAGCTCGTGGCAGGGCTCTGGTGGGAATCGGCGTGAGAAGTGGGACAAGCCTAAAGGCTGGAATCTCGGGTGGAGGCAATTGGCGACTTCATGCGGCATGTAGGGTAGCTGGAGCTGCTAGATGCCGTGAGGCCTACTGCATCAAGAGTTGCTATGCAAAGGTCTATGGAGTGGCTGTTGCCCTGCCATTCTAATTTTCTGTTTCCGGCCGACTGCTGCGAGTGATGAAACAGCAACCAGTGCACGAGGGTTCCACTGATGCATTGGACGTTCAGAGTTCTCATGGTCCAGTCCATGTCGGCATGTGCTGCTGAGGAACGTGCACAATCCGTTTAGCACTTCTAGAGCAAGCTCTGTTCCCGTGCTTCAGCAGTCAGTGGATGCATGTCACCCTGTCTGTGAATGCACACACGCCGCTGCCTTTTGCTTTCTGCAGCATTGTGCAAACACACTGTATGCATTCTTAACCTACCCTGCTGCCTCGTGTATGGACGAATCTTCATCATCTTTGGAAGCAGCAAGCTCAGAGAGTGCTGAGTGGTGGCAGCGCGTGCCCCAAGCCCGTTTGCAAGTGGTCAGAATCTTGCCCCGAGACTTTCATTTGGAGTGCTTGTTCAGAAACATACATCAAGAGCCCAATCTGCACACCTACGTCCTTGAACCCGACCTCCTCAACATCCTCCTCAGCCAAACTGAAGGTTCGAGAATTTTGGTTCTTCTTCCCGTTCGGTCGTGGTACTACTTGACGTGTTCAGCCAGCTGGAGTAACACGTGCCTCAGGCATCTTCTTGCACGTCATGTCTAGAGATATTACAGATGAGGAGATTGCTGAACGATTCTGGAGAGTGCCAGTGTGGGAAATGAGCTTCACCCTCCTTCAGCACTTGAGACAGATTGCTTATCTTCGCGAGAGATTCGATGCTCTCGAGCGGTGTCACGACCGAATGCAACAGCAGTATTCGCATCTCGTTGATCTTCATGCGCGTGTTCTGAGTGAGTGCGAGCAGCTTTGGCAAACATGTCTGATACTTCAGTTTCACCTCGATAGGCTTCAGAGTGTTGTCGACCTCCTACAGAATCAAACCCGAGGTTTCCACGACGACATGACACATACCCTGTGGCTCCAGGGCCTCCGAGTGCACGTGACCCCCCCTGTCCCACCGAGACCCAGTAACGTGGTCCGTGTGCAGCAGATGAGGGACAATGCGCGCCGCTCCCGGCCTTACTGAATCTTCCCGCGGGGCAGAAGTGCAAAACATTTCCAGTGCTGTCTCTGTGATGCTCATGTGGCAGCAATCTGCGCGTGTATTGAAGCACCATGTTATGTCATGTCACGTATGCCACCTCAAGTTCTTGTTTTCTTCTGTGGGCCCGAGTTTGGGATTTTGTACAACAACATCCTGCCAAGATGGACTTGTGTCTTGCAGAGCGGCAAGCCGAGGCTTTTTCTGCTGAGTACGAGGACATTAACTTGCCCCCCTGCACCTCTTTTCCCCATACCGGGCCTTCCGGTTTTTCAGACTCCAAATGCCACGCTGATTCATACATCAGCATCAGCTGGGGAATCAGTGCCAGTTGGTTGGTATGACAGACAAGAAAGCGAGCCCACAGAGGCATGCTTTGGCATCTTTGATGAGCCAATCCAGAGTGCCGAAGTGGCATCTCTGGGTGAAGAGGCCAAAGAATCGCAGGTGTCTTGAGCTCCTCACCGGGGGCTAACGTTTCAGCAAAGTGATCAAGTGTAAAAAGAAAGATGGACCTTTCGAGGAGGCTGTTGTAGGCATGTGATTGAAGAACATGTAGATGTGGAAACAGCTGCTCGAAGCCTCCCCGTCCACCAGTTTTGCCAAAAACTGCAAGAATTGGACGAAGAGGAGAAGATGTTGTCCCTTCGTGACATGTTTGGCTCGAAATCACCACACACAATCCAGAAGCGTGCATCGACCTTGTTGAGGCTGTTTCGTTGGCTTCAAAGACAGGCAGATGCGCAAGGGACCTCTGTGGAGGAACCCCTTCTCCCATCAGAGGAGGCGGTGTACAAGTTCTGCAGGGAGATATCCCACAGCAAAAAGGGCAAGCGGGCACCTCAGAGCATAGTACAAGCGTTGAAGTTTGTGAAATTTCTGCTTTCCATTCCAGATGTGGAGAACCATCTCCCCCAGGGTCCGAGGCTTGGCAGACCGAGTGGCAGGCGAGCACGAGCCCACACACCAAGCCCGGGACCTAACAGTGCTTCAAGTTAAATTTCCGGCAGAGTGGGTTGGGAACACCGAGCTCCACGTTGTTGAGTGATTTGCAGCAGGAGTGTTCCTGTGTCAGATCTTCAGCAGGAACCGTTGGTCAGACATCAGGCACGTGCGATTCTTGGAGTTCGACTTTCTGGAAATTGGACCCGAGATTTGTGGTTTTCTGGAAGGAATCCTTTCAAGGCAGGGCTAGAGAGACGAAACAGTCCAACAAGAAGAAGAAACTCTCGTTCTTCATGCCCCTCGTGGCTCCAGTTCGGGGGTCCAACCTAAGGTGGTGTGGGCAAAAGAATGGCAGAAGGTGGCTGCCGAAGCAGGGATAGTGCTCTCGAAGACCCCTGTAGGCCCTTTACTACCGGCCACCGCCCCAGATGGCGACTGGCTGCAGAGTTCCATGGACTCCGCCGAGGCTTCCAACTAGCTGACGGGACTGCTAAGGGACCGCGACCCCTCAACAGCGAGGGTTGCCACACAGTCCTTGAAACACAATGCTGTTGGGAGGTTGAGCAAATACGGCATTGTGGGCGAGACACAGACACTCTTGTCACATTATTCGACTGGAGCTTTGAGTACATTAGCCTACTCGAGAGATGCCCTTAGTGGCCCCCTCCGGCAGCCGGAGGAAATGCTGAAGCAGGTACGGGAAGGCTCGTTTTGCCCGGACGCTATTCGAAGTGGATACTTTGCCCGAGCCCAAGGATGAGAGGCAGGTGCATCTGTTGACCTCGGGTCCTGACTTCCGATCAGCAAGGTAGGCAGCTTGGATGGGCTGCCCGAGAATTCCGAAAGCACGCATGAGCTTTTGCCAATTTGCCAGCTCTAGTGGAAGGATTTCAGGACAATCTCCTGGGGGTTGGACTGCTTTGCCCCCTGCAAGGGAAGGTCTTTGAGTCACCAAGTGCCATGCCCGTCTTGGAAGCATCCGCACCGTTGATAGCGGAAGGAGAAGAATTAACCCTAGAAAGAAAGTGAGGAATTAGACAAGCTGGCTACCGTGACCTGTGGGCTTTGCGAAACAGTGCTCGATAAGAATGACACACAAGATGCAGATGACAACGGGGAGGCAGAGTTCTCGCCTACCACATCAGCAGACGGGTCCTCCGAGGAAACCTCTGATGGAGCCTCGTCGGAAGAAAAGGAGGAACCAGCTGCGGCCCTGAGTCTGCCGAAGGGTTGGAGAGCGATCCGAAACAAGAAGTGTACCATGCTACATCTGTACAAAGTGGGTCATACGACGCTGAAATGTGGCAAGTGGATCAGCGTTAATTTTGTAGAAATGGAAAAGCCCTCAGCGAAGTGGCTACAGTGCAGCCGTTGTTTTCAGGAGTTAAGAGCGGGGTGACATTGTTGTTGGCCGCTTTGTGTGTATGTGCAGCACAATCCCTTTGTACCAGCTCTCTCTTTTGCAATTTGCAGTTTTGGCCCCACGCCCTAAACATGGCAAACGCAGCGGATAGTCAGCCTTTCTTCGAGCAACATGCTCGCAAGGTCGGGATGGAGCAGCAACTCTTGGAAAGATTCATAACCGGAGGGGTCAGGACGGTGTCCATGGCAGCCTACGCCGCCACTCAACCGGGTCAACCTCTCACAGACAAGGAGGTCTCCACTCTATGCACGAGTCTGGGGCAGGACAACCCCACTCGTGCGCAATTGACGGTCGTCAAGAGGCTCCTGTTCGAGTGCCGGACCATGAGTCTGGCAAATTTGGAGGCCACCGTGGGACAGCAGCCGGACTCAGTTCTACGTAAGCTGCCAGGAGCTGAGAGAGCCCAGCGCCTGGACTTGCAGGCTCAAAGGAATTGGCGCAAGGCAAGCCAGCCAAGGAACTTGTGCTGGACGCTTCGGGGGACGGCCTCTCGGTTCAGGATAAATCCCCTAAAGTGGCGGCCCAGTTGGGGTCAGACATGGCGACTTACAGAGCGTTGCAAAGACGGGGTCTGGCCTACGACCTCGTTGGCGTGTTGAATCCCAAGGCGCACGAGAAACGGCTTCAGAAGGACTTTGATACCTTGCAGACCCCAGCGCCCCCAGGCTTCAACCGTCCGACGCTGCAGCAGGTCCTGCGAGCAGATCGGGCCTTGTGGAGGGAGCTTGGCAGCAAACAGCCGACCCTGAAAAGGGCAGCGGCGAAGGTGCCGCTCGCGGACGCCCGGTGCTTAGATCAAGTCTTCCTGGAAGCCACAAACACGGTTGCAGTCAATTTTCACTTCATGCCGACACCTCGTGCGGAAGGGTTCACAGATAAAGGAGGCAAAGGCGCGGGCAAGGGCCCCCAACCGTTGGGGCGATGGAAAAGGTATGGGCAATGAAAATATCAGAGGACAGACAAACCAGAGAGGCGAATCAGGGGTCAAGGGAGCCCGCCTCCCCACGAAGGGCAAATTTGACAGTGGCAAGGGCGGCTTTCCGAACCAGTGTGTTGCAAGGAGGCAAGGAGACCCCCATGCCGGCCGCCTTGCGAGGTGGCGTGCCGAACGACGAGCACGGAGATCCTCTTTGTTTTGGCTTCAACCTAGGACAGTGCAAGCAGCCTGAAAGAACGCCCCGTTGCAAGGGACGTTGACAGCGCCTCCGGGCTGGACCAGGCGTCCCGCGCTGCTCTGACCGCGCGTCGCGCACAAGCGTGCGCGGAGAGAGCGGAAACAGCCATGGGGGATGGAGATAGTTCAGCCCAATTTTGTGAACAGGACAATTTTCCCGCTTCTTTGGCGGACAGGCCCAAAGAGAGCTGCAAGGAGTCGCATCCTGCTGCTGTTGCGAAAGGCCAAGAGAATTAGCCCCCGCTCCTACGGGTGACTGAGCCAATCCCACAGTTTTCCAAGTCTTCCGCTGAGGCTTCCGTATTTTCACCTAAGGCGAGTCATCCTGGCGCGAACAGGTCTGGACAGGCGCAATGTACTGCGCCCCAGACCATACATGAGTGTTGGGTTTTGGAGTTTTTCGCAGGGTCAGGCGGGATTACCTCGGCGGCTGCTTCAGCCGGCCTCAGGCGGTCGGTCGGAGTGGACAAAGTCCGCAGGCCAAGCCTCAAGGGCAAGATATTACAGCTGGTCTTGCTCCTGCTGTCGCACAGAGGTCTGCTGTGGAAATGGCTGGGTTCCCCAGGACTGGCCGCCGTATGGCTGGCGCCGCCCTGCGGCACATCCAGCAGGGCCAAGGAAATCTAGCTTCCGTGGGAGGACGAGCCGCATCCTTTGAGGTCAGTGGAGTACCCGGAAGGGCTTCCGGGCCCGAAAGGGTGGCAAAGGCCAACGAGCTTTGCCGGCTCACGGCCCGAAGCTGGGACTTTTGCTGCGAATGCAGCATCAACGAGCTTTGCCGGCTCACGGCCCGAAGCTGGGACTTTTGCTGCGAATGCAGCATCGTGGTAATCATAGAAAACCCCTATCGCAGTCTCCTCTGGCGTTGCATCGCCGTTGAACACATCCTGAGGAGTGAACAGGCGATTGTGGTCCAGTGCGACTTTTGCATAATGGGAGGCTCGAAATGAAAGCTGACAGCCTTGCTGTGCAACAACGACCTCATCACAGGCCTGGCTGTCACGTGTGTTGGATCCCACGAGCACCTACCCTGGGAAGTGCACGAGGGAGTTCTCGCAACAAACTTGAGACCGCGTACCCGCAACAGTTTTGTAAGCACTTCGTTTCCCTGCTGTTGCAGCATCTGACACAGAAGGGTTGTCGGGATGGCCTTAATCTATTGGAGGGAGATCCCGCAAACTCCTCAGGAGCCAGGGTGGTAACGACACAGGCAAAGACCAAAAGGGCTGCATCCTTTCAGGTCATCCCCGGATTTTGCCGACGAACCAGATGGACAGTGCTCAGCCAACTCCGCAGCACTCTCCAAACTACACAGTGGTTAGGACTGGACAAGATCCCGGGGTTCAAGGCGCCAGGATCCCCGGCGTTGAGAGTGACGCCCCTACTGTCTTCTGCGACGGACGTTCTGGTGGAGGTGCCGTGGAACCCACAGGAATTTGCGGCGAAAGCCCGACTGGTCGGCTACCCCCGACACCTGTGTCTCGGGGTGCCACCCGCCCTCAGGAAGGTAATTTTGGCGTGCTCTAAACAGCCCGCAGCCAAGGTGATTGAGACTCGAGCAGCGCAGTCACGAAGATGGCTCCAGCGAGCCCAGGAGACCAACCACCAGGTCATCAAGGAAGTTGAGGACTCATCTCAGTTTCTGGAAGAACTGTGGCTGAAAAGTCTCGATGAAGTATCGAAAGGCTGCTCGGAAGGACCGTTCTGAGAACAGGGCTTGCCACAAGGAGCTGTAATCAGCCAACGTTTTGCAATCCAGCAAGGGAGCAAGGTGAGGCTGATCGACGACCTGTCCCAGAGCTACATCAACGAGGCACGCAGGACAAGGACTGCTTGGAAACCATTGACCTGAATCAGCGTATAGGCGACTGCCACTGTCCGAAGAGGCACTCAACATGGCTTACGTGGCGGTCAAGGACCCAAGCTAGGGGGAGGTTCGCTTCTTCAGGCTTCTTTGCCTTCCATTCGGCGCCGTGGCAGCGGTCCACGCGTTCCTCAGGGTCAGCTTGGCTATTTGTCATACAGGAAACACGTTTTGGCACTTGCCTTGGAGCTCGTCTTACGATGACTTCACGCTGTTGTCAACACGACAGCTGGCCCCTAGCGCAGAGGCCAGTGCATGTTTTTTTGCTAGACTTGCTCTGCTTTGAGTTTGACAGAGACGGAGACAAGGCTCCGCCGTTCCAGGAGGTCTTCAGTTCTTTGGGAGTAGAATTTGACCTTACAGACAGCAGCGAGCAAGTTTTTTTAGGATCCAGAATACAGCAGAACGAACCAAAAGTCTCATTGAAGACCTGGCAGTCTTTCAGGAGCAAGGAGCCTCCAGCCCTAAGACCTGGAATCGACTGAGGGGAAGGCTGCACTTTGTGGCGGGCCAACTCTCTCTGGGTGCTTGCCGAAGGGCTTCATGAGAAGAAGCTCTGACATCATCAATGCCCCCGCATATGTCAGGAGACAGAACAAGAGCCTCCCTTTGCGCAGCACTTCAGGAGCTACGACATTACATGACATGGCAAATCCCCTTCCTTGGAAAAGATACCTGTGCATAAGCTTCAGTCTTGTTAGCGTGAGGGTGCACGTCATTGCAGTCTGTGCATGTGAATGCATCGCTGTGCATGGGACACAAATGAACAAGCATGGCATCGATGGATTGTCCTGTATCTTTGGCCGGGAAATGTTTTCACACATTTGAAACATTTTTGTTTGGAAAATAAGAACACATTACGGGCGTAGGCATGCAATGGCCAGACGGTTGCGGTAAACGAGACGTGTTATGAGTGGAATGGGAATGAGATTGAGTTACACTTGTGAACGCTGTTGTATTTCCTTTTAGATGCTGACATGCCTATGTGCGTCAAAAAGCGAAGCATACCCATGCCCCTTTGCAGACATGACACAACTGACAAGCAAGAGGCTGCCGGCAGCTTTTTTGCGTCATATGCAGCGGTGCTACCGTGATGCCTGTCATCACGCGCCTGTACTGCGAACACTCAGAGGTTTGGACCAAGGACTTCATTCGCCTCCCATAGGTCTTGTGTCGTGTCCTCCAGCATATCCTCAAGTTGACGTACCCGACGGCGCAAAGAGCTCTTATGAGTGGAAGAGGAGCTAGAGCTGGAGCTAGAAAAGCCCGAATTGGAATGGTCATGGACACTCATAGCCTCATTCGAGCCCGGACTGCCTTGGCTCATGTTCTCAGAGACCTGTCGTAGTCAGACACCGCCTTGATGCTGTGGTCGACGTCCATGGCCTCGTCCAAGGACGGAATGTTTTGGTTCATGTGCTCGGAGACACACCCATCATTGTCAGACATGGCATTCTTTTGGCTGTTGTGGTCAGTGTCCTTGGGACTGGGCCCGTCGGTGGAACCGCTAGGCTCTTTGCCGTCACTGCCATACATAGCCCTCTCCTGGATGTTGTAGTCTATGTCGTTGGGGATGGGCCCGTCGGTGGAATCGCTGGGCTCTCTGTCCTTGATGGCTGGCACGCCCTCCGCATCCTGGATGGCCTTCATGTGGTTCCCTTTGGCGTAAACCTTCTTATTGGAAGCTAAGAGGCGAAGCAGTCTAGAGTCAGCTTCCGGACTCCAACCACCGCCTGATCCGGGTGTCAACGAGAGACGCTGGATGTTGCTCATCGCGAACTGCAGCATTTTTTTGTCAGGGGCTGGTGAGTCGGCCAGGGAGCCGTTGCCGCTGCTGGTGGTGTAGGCGAAGGGGGCGTCGTGGGATTGGCCGGCGCCAGGCGGAGATACGCAGCACCGTTATCGAGCGCCACGATGCCGGAGACAGATACACCAACCACGATGAAGCACACAGGGGCGCTGCGAACCAATGGCCTCCCGATCACGTTGTTCGCACACCGTGAGTTTTGAAGTTCAATCCGGAGTTTTTGAACATAAAACTCCGGGATTCAAGATTCAACATTCAAGGTTCCAGGGAAACGTTTTCCCGAGATCTTGCACCCGAGTTTTGAAGTTCAATCCGGGGACCCTGGATTCAAGATCCCGGGGAAACCTTTCCTTGGAACCTTGAATCTTGAATCTTGAATCTTGAATCCCGGAGTTTGGAAGTTCAAAACTCCGGATTGAACTTCAAAACTCCTTGTCCCTCATCGTGCTTGACCACTGATACCTTGAAATTTAAGTACACTATGCGCTATAGAAGCACCAGTAACTACACAATATCGTCACACTATAGTATCAGAATCACACTATAGTATCAGAATATAATAAGACTGAAGCTCTGAAGTAGCGAAGCTCTGAAGTTACCTATCCCCCCTAAACAGGTGGATAACTTATACATATATATATATGTGTATATGTAGTGTGCCTTGCACCTGCAACAAAACTGCCCATTTGGCTACTTTGAGCAATGCACTTTGCGTAAGTGCGTTCGGCTCCAACAAGTTCTGCACTGTGCAATTTAGTTTGAGATAGTCCCAAATTGAAATTTGCACCTGCTTTGTCAAGTTATTCCATTTTGACTTGCTCGCCGTCAACGTTTGCAGCATTACAGCAGCTGCTGGTCAACATGGCAGATTTGGGGATCATGTGCCAGCAGGAAGTAGGAAGTGGTGGTTCAGTTTTTCTAAGTCATAGCCAGGAAGTGCTTCAAGTGTTGCATTAGGAGAGGTCATGACTCGCAAACATGTTGTCGTTGACAAAGACAAAGAGGTGCGGCGCTTGACTGGTTGCCAAAGTTAAGTTTCAACGGTGCGTGGTGGCAGTTCCAACTCGGCAAAAGGTGCACTTGGAGACTGAAGCTTGGTCTTCCCAGCCCGGTTCGAAGTCGGTAAGCAGATGATCGGACAAGGCTTTTTTGTTGGTGTTCTCCTTTGATTGAGGTGGCTTTGTACACTTTCCGTTCTCATGTTTGTGATCGCTTTCGCGCTTTCGGGGCAGATCCTTCCCAGGCCGACTGATCCAGTGACTTGTGTAGAAGCTTTCAGCTGCTGCACGTTGCCCATGGCCATTGTTGCAGGTTCGTGCCGAGCCAGTGCACCTCAGAAAAGGGCATGTGCACGCCGGGAGCCCATGTCGCATGTCTTCTAAAAAAGATGGTTGCCCAGCACAAGGGTTGATGAACAGATGAGAAGGAACGTATGACAAATGCATTGACCAACTCTTGGCAGACTGGGAAACAGCTTTTGGCTTACTGCAGCTGTTGCTGATGGTTCATGTTCTGTTTTTTATCAGTTTGTTTTTTGTTGCTCCCGTGTTTTTTTAAATCCACAGCCACTTTAACGAACATTGACTACGGCTACCGGAAAATGCACAAGCGTAATTCCGATTGTGAGGATACTTTACATGCACTAGCTCCGTTGAACAAGTCTGCAACATGTCTGAGCTTGCAACTTGAGGAGTTTGCGAGGTGGATTTGTAGTGACAAGGACTCGGCCATGTCTGTGCCAACTGTCGGTGATGTTCAGCGACAGATGCCGAAACCAGATGAGATGAAACGATTGGTCAAATACAAGGGGCCAAGCGGTGAGAAGGCTGTTTTGAAACAAGCGGCAACAAATTCCGAGCTGCAGAAAGCGGTCGAATTAGGAGATGCTGAGATGATCAAGGCAATTTTGCGGTTTGGCTTGATGAAACGTTGTGTGAACGTGAATGCCCCTCTCTGGCCAAAACGAGAGCGTCTGCTACATTTGGCTGCGCAGAAAGGATTTCGAGATGTCTGCATACTTCTGCTAGAGGCCAAGGCAGAAATTGATGCAGAAGAAATATGTGATGGAAAACATCCAGTCCATGAAGCTTGCAAACACGGGCACTACGATGTGTGCGAGTTACTCTTGGATCGCAGAGCTCACATTGAAGAAGCTACCTTTACAGGAATGCGGCCTCTGCACTGGGCTGCATCGGAGGGCCATGCTGAGATTTGTGATATGCTGTTGGACAGAAAAGCAGTTCCCTATGCTGCATCAGGTGACCTCCGGGAGGTTCTCCACCACGCAGCGGCCAAGGGCCATGCAGCAGTCGTCGAGTTGCTTTGCCGGAGGGGTGCCAAGCTTGATTCCGATGGCCCAGGACAGAGTCCTTTGCATTTGGCCTGCTTGGGTGGGCACCTGCAGGCAGCCAAGGCACTGTTGGATCACGGCGCCTTGAGCTCGCTACAGGACTTTGGTCCCAATGGCGCTTTGAGGAGGTGCCAAGACACGGACATCGAAGACTTAGTGCGCTGCATTGGGCAGCTCAACCTCAAAGTGGATGAAGCTGAAGAGATGGACGACATGGGACAGCACGATGAAGCCCAAGCACTCTATGCGGAAGTGTTGGCAGATTTTGATAGGCTTGGTATGGTCCATTCAGCCCAATCCCTGCGAGCCAGCTTGAAGCTGCGAGCTAATGTTGAGACTGGTGAGTCGGATGCCTGATTTGTACAGCAAAGCCTTGTTGCGAGCCAAAAGATTAGAAAATGCGAGCAGTGAAGACGTTCAAGCCTTTCTCACCACCAGAAAACAGAGGCCCGGAGCTTGCACATGCCCCTTCCCGCTCATGAAGCGGGACATGGTGACACAGGACGCATCAAAGCTCCGGAATGATTTTGAGTTAAGCTCTGCGCTTGAACGTGAGTCTTTCAGCTGTCCTGAGGATGCAGAGGCTTGCTCCCAGTGCGTAGAAGAATTCTGCCCAGCAGTTGCCTCAGCACGCCTAGAATTCTCATGTCACAGATGGTCGCTATGTAGCCTCTCACAGCTTCGAGTTGCATCATGTTGCATCCATCAAGGCAGAATCTGAAGGGGCGTCGAGTTGCTCGGAATCTGCCGGATGCCAAGCTGGCGCAACATCCTGTGCGAACCTGCGGTGCATTCGTTGATGCCCCGGAGGCCTGTGAATGCGAAGACCCTTCCTGGCCCAGGCTCGACTGCAGCCTGGTAGGGTTCAGGGAGTGTTCAAGGCAAGTCAACTCTGCAACAGGATAGATGTTGGATCTCCAGAGAGACCCTGTTGGCAATGTGTTGATGCCTGAGTTGCTAGAACGCCTTGAGAACATTGCCAACGGGGCTTCGGCGCTTCAAAAGGTTTGCGACATTGTTGCACAGATTTTTGTGCACCAAATTTGGGGGGTGGCAATTCTCAGTTCCAAGGCCCGCCCTCATGTGGACATGACACTTCGGTCCGTCGGCCAGCAGCTTGGAAAGCGGCCATCGCAATAGCCACTGAAACCCCAGTTTACCTAGGTGCAGATGAGACATGCCTGCAAGTAGTTGAGGATGCTGATGGTCTTGAGCTTGGTGCGTCCAGCTTCTGTGTGTGTTGTTTTAGAGATCTTGCGGCTGAGATGCATGAAGCGTTGGAACAAACACGTTGGCTTTCAGAGACCTTGATCCAGATCCAGCCTTGAGCTTGAGACTATGACTACCTTCGTCTCCTTAACCCGTGAGCTTTGCAGTGTCAGGGGTGTAAGGTGTGGAGACCTGCTACTGTTTGACAAGCATGTCTCTATGCGCGGGGCATGTTCGTGAAGTTGCTGCCAGTCGGAGGTCTGCAGCTTGCAAGCTCGAATTCAAGTTCTTGTGAGCCTTTTGATGTGTGGTTGGCAACCATGGAAACAGCTTTTGACATGTGGTAAAGGCAGTGCTGTATGCAGGTACAGTCTTCCGCTTCAACGGCGCATCAATCTTGGCCAAGGTGCACAACGACAGTTGTGAGCACCTCAGAGGCGTTAGGCAGCTTCACATAGTTGACATAGCCTTGAGGCTACATGTCTTTTTCAGGCCTCACATGGGCGGATGCTTGGAAGTTGGTACCTTGCCGGGAGCCCCGCCATCAGAACACTTTTGCTGCTGTGCATGTCATCTGGTGGCCACGCAGTGCTTTACAGGTGCGTCCAAATCCATTAAGTTTGTGCAGCGTAAGCTGCCAAAGGATGAGGCGAGGCAATGTAAGGATCGCAATCAAGGTGCTTTAAGGTGCTTTTGCCCATGCTGCTCTGGAGGGCCTCTATTGCGCTGGTAAACGAAAGCAGCTCTGCGTGGAAGCTATTGAGTGCCCTGCGCCTTACACCCGACGCTTTACGTTTTCATGGCGAGGAGCATGCCGGGCACAGAAACTCCCAGAGAAGTTGCTGGCCAGGTACATGTGCACAACTGATCCTGCTCAGTGCAGCATGGGCGCCTGCCGTTGTGAGGATGCATCTCACGTGCGGAAGGTGCAACGATACCCCGATGATCTCCGGTGATCATATTCTTTCATGGTGACACAGGAAATGCAGACCGTCAACAGATCTGTATGCCATGTGCTGCAGGCTTAGCTAAGAACACTCTCCGCCAAACTGAGAATTTTTGGATGTCGTGATTGTCTTTCGTCTTAAGGTGTGGACCTCCATTGCCAAGCTGCCCCATGTGGGAGACTGGGAGACTTGCTGTTTTTAGCTGTGAGTCTTGCGATAGGAGCAGTCTGAAGAACATGAGGTTTTCAGACTCGTGCGCTGCGGGTCCTTGCGAGTGTCACGTCGGCTTCGTCAAGGCGATGCCAGCGATGCAGATGATGCATTGACCAAAGCGGCCATGCGAGCTCCTGGGAAACCTTCAGGTTCACCATGGCGATGACTGTTTTAGCAGCCTCCTTTGTAAGCCGTAGTAATGCTACGAAAATTCTGCAAGCTTGAACAAGCTTGATGCGCTCTGGCTGCAGCACTGAGGCTGTAGATCAGGACAGGACCGTTCTCAAGGCCGTGCCACATGGCTGTGTGTGTGTGTGTGTGTGTGCGTGCCTCCAGCTGAACCAGAGAGTCCTGTGAAGGACGCTCAGTCTTGTGGTCATTCGCTTCAGCAGCGGCAATGCCATGGCCTCAGCCAGGGCGCCGGATCGTGCAAGACCACGCACACGCAGATCTGCTGCACGTGCAGGTTTGTTTGCTGCGTTGCCCTGGGAGTTGTCGCCGCTTGCGCAATACGCAGATGTTTCGTGTGGCCCTTGTCAGCAGCAACTGCAGGTACGAACATTACGTAAAACCAGCCTTGGCACAAGGTTGCTGAAGAGAGAGATCCGCCTACCAGTACCCGCCGTCGACCTCGAAATGTGGTGCCAAGGTTCGAGCTTTGTTTGTACATTCACCATGTGTGTCGATTGGTGGTCAGGGATGAGCTAGTGATGGTGGTCTGAGTCAGGCAACTGCACCATAGCGTCGACTTTAATATGTATTTCGTGATTGCCAGCCCTAGCTTTATTAAATGACGAAGCTGCGGGAAGCTTGTGGTTCCAGCCTAGACAAGGTCACAACGGGAAAAGCATATGGGAGGAGCTTCAAAGCGGTGTGGGCAGGAAAGCCTTAAGTCCCTAAACCAGTGAGTGTGAAGAGATTTGTGCAATGTGCAACACGGGGAAAACTCAGGAGGAATGTCCACGCAGGCCAGACATTCTGGCCAGTATGCTTTGTTCTGCCTTGTGAGAGCTTGAAATGCCGCAACAATCTGCAAAGTCTTCCAAGTGAACAGCTTGGATTTTCAACTTGGCTGCTTTTGCTTTCGGTTCGGGCTGCACCCACTTCGGTTTTTTCCAAGGGTGTCTTCGCTTCCAATATTGGGCCCAAAGATGGCAGCGGAGACCACTGAGCTCCATCTGTGGGTGGGCTCAGGAGAGGGGGACCGAGCTTCAAATGCAGGCCTGAACAGTCGAAGGGACCTCAAACCAGTCGGTGACTTGGGGCGACTCTTAGATATCGAACCTGGGATTGTACGGTCCGCAGGCCCCAATCCTGCAGTGGATTTTGATGTGCCCAGTGCACGTCCAACATCTGAGTTCAGACAACCTGATGCCTGCTCAAACCTGCGCTTGATGGCAGCCTGTCTGTTCCTGGAGCCCAAGCGGGCTCAAGATGTGAAGAACTTCTATGAACTTCTGGTATGTTTGAGGATATGCAGAACTACAGCATGTTCTCAGACTGGCTGTTGAACGGTTGCAGTTGTGGCAAAGGGCAGTGAAGCAGACATTCAGCCACACCCCAAATGGTTGCGCGCTTGCAACGAAGACGCAACGATGGTTGTTTGTTAGCTGGCAGCTCTTATTGGAGCAGGACGTGGTCAGAACGGTGGGCGCTTCATCTGGAAGTGACGTTCGAGGCATGAGCTCAAGAGTGCTGATCTAGATTTGGCGCCTTGACGGCTTGACCGTCTTCAGGCTGTTTGCAAGAGCACGCGGTCCTGGAAGCCCTGAGCTTTGATTGAGTACACGGTGAGCACTGATTGCACAACCGTTGTGCTTTCAGGCCCTTGAGGACGGTCACTACTGCCGCGTGCTTCCCTGAGCGTCCCCATTCACCAGCTTGTCCTATCCTGCCCGTGTGAGGAAGTCACGACATCCAAGGTGTACCTTCTTTGACATGTGTGATGATGCGCTCGATCCAGTGTACATGTTGTTGGAACGTGGTTTGGTGATGCCGGCTTCCTTGCTGCCTCGGTTTTTTCAAGTAGCTCAGTATCAGCTCCAAGCACACAGCTCCAAGCAGACATGTTCAACATCGTTTGCTTGGGCTCCAGCTTGGGATCCCGCCAGGACTCGATCCAGAGAGGCGTTGCGGTCATCCTCAAGGCAGCTTAGAGACAGTCAAGTGACATCAAGTGACAGTCGAGTGCCTTTGCAGGGAGGTATTTCTGAATGTTCGATGAAGATCACATCCTTGATCTGCAAGGAAAGCCCAAAAGTGAAGTATTCAGGGCCAATAGCCGCTCCTTAAGGGGCTTCGAATGAGCTTGATGAGAGAGTGCAACTTTCTTTGCCAGCTAAAGAAAGAAGCAGCAAACCGAGGGTTGATCTTCGAGTCTTTCAGGGGCAATGCGGGGGCAGCGAGCCATATCAAAACTCTTTGGTGTGCAAAGGACCTGTAAGGAGTTCAACTGTTATAGGCTTATAGGTTATGTGAAATTGTATATATGCTACTATACAGGGCTGCTGTTAGGAACTAGCATTCTGAATTTGCGGAGCGGTAAACAGCTCCGCAAAACAGCCTTTCTGGATGGAGAATGTCAGTTACCTAGTGTCCACTCTCAGCCCTCTCACGCCCTCGGATGTTTAGCAGGACTACTGCGGCTGGTCTGCGGCCAAGACCTGTATAAGCAGTTGTTGGGATCACAGTCCGGAAAGCCACTGGAAGTCGACTTATCCAAGCGCCTCTGACAAGCGTTTGACGCCGTCCATTCTTCTAGCTTGGCTCACGGCTTGTTGAGCCAGAGGTTTTCAACACTTGAAGCGGCATGAATTGAAGTCAGGCTAAAGACTTTCGAGAGAAGCAGCCATGATCCTCACATTGTGTAAATGGGCATGGTATGATGGTATGAATCCCAGAACTCCCGGAACTCCAGTCCCAGCTTCCCAGCTCTTGCATCCTAGAATCAGGCAGCAAGGCGAGGCGAGGCAAGGCCAGGTCAGGCAAGGCAAGGCAGCAAGGGTGAGTTTTTTGGCATGTGCTGGCCGAGCAACAAATCAATGCTAGCCTGAGGGCCCGAGTACAGACTTGGGAGTCCTAGACAACGCACTCAGATGCACACAGGGTGAGAACACCCGGCAGTTCAAGGCTCAAATGCCCTCTGTGGGGTTTGGAAACGTGCTCGAAGTCAGAATACACTTCTGTCCTGGGGAACTCTTTGTACCTACATCCACATCAGGGTTCTGAACATGCAGAAGTTTGCATAGGCAGCCAGTCTGCCAAAACACTCAGAACTTGCGGGTTCCTACATGTTCCCACACACTGATCATGTTGCTATTTAAGTCCAGCAGCAAGACTGTACTTTCAGAGCAATCGAGTGTGCAAAGCTCTTATGTAAGTTGAAGCCTCGAGTCTCGAGTAAGAATTGTGTTGGGCTGTGTGCATGATCCAGCTTCCGGGCATTCCAAAGGGCATGCGATCTGAGCGCATCAACGACATCCATTGTGCCACTCTTCCTGAGGCTATTACCATCTGTCGCCGCAGCAGTGTAGCTGACTCAGTGTCCTGAGCTCCGTTAGGAGGACGTCAGGACGAGAAGAGACGGGGCAAACCAAGGTGTAACTTCCTGGACTCTTGTGATGATGTGTTGACTGCAGTGTACCTGTTCTTTGAAAGTGGCTTGGCAATGCTGGCCGGCTTGAATTGTTTACTGAAGGGAGCAGGCATGCACGCAGACAAGAGCTGTTTCCCTTGTGCCAGGAAGCGCTGCAGAGCAGGATTGCCACTATCTTCAAGGAACATTTTTTTGAAAGTTTCTGTAGGCGATCGTGTGTGTGTGTGTGTGTGCGCGCGTGCGTGCATTTTGGTGTTTTTCTATCATGTCGACCTGAACATGGCTTCGCATTCCTGACTCTGTCAATGTAACGCGTCGGCCGTGACAGGATGAAAAACACTGCAGCAGGTCAGCGGCCAAGACCACGCATGTCGCCGCTAGTCACTGCTAGTCGCCACTTTCATACAGACGACAATGCAAAATCTCCGTGCTGCCGTGGCTGCTTGTCTGCTGTAGCAAGCAAATATAGCGAATCAGAGACAAATTGCAATTTCTTCTTGCTCATCTATGTATGGCCTGGCGAGATTTGTCGTGTGCGCACAGAGCGGCTTCGCAACCACCAATCACAACACGCTCAGAACACATTGTCTATAGAACAATGCTGGCAACGGCGCAAGGCAAGAAACACGCGGCGGTTTGGCTCGCTTGGAGCTCAGGCATGGCCTATTCGGCAAGCTTCTTGCTATCCTGAGCCCTCAGGACGAAAAGCTGCAGCAAGGTACTGAACTCAGAATTTCTGGATCATTGCTCACGGCTCGAGCTGGTGCTGGTACCCATCACACACCACATGTTTCTGAATAGTCAGTCATGGATTTTACCTCAAAACAGGGCTTGTTCAGAACATGTGCACACCTGGAACAAAGCATTTTCTGGAAGCTGGAAACTGGAAACAGATTCGGGACCGCCGCATCGCAAACTGCGGATTTGGGAGCTGGATGCTCTGAAACTGGATCCCCCAGCACGACACCACCCTCACCA